CCCCGCAGCCCCCGTGACCGCGACCACCAGCGCCCTTTAACTACAGGCCAGCGCCCTATACACGATAAGCCCCAGCGCACAGCAGGAAAAAAGGTGTTTGGACTGCCTGCAGTGAAACCAGGTGGCTGGTTCAAGCCGCGCACTTTCGCCTGTGCTCGCTGCCCACGCGGCTCCTTACAGCCCCGTGCGAGTAGGCAACCCACCCGCACGCGTGCATGCGGTACAGTGGAACTGCGAAAGTGCGCGGCGTGAATCAGCCACCTGGTAAATTCGCACGTGCATCACTTTCTGCAGTCAGCGTACGGGGATCCTACCAGAGTCAATTTTTCGCTGTCGCATTTCGTTTCTAACATACAGTTTTGACCTCTAGTCAGTGTACACCACGGCGGTGTCCCCGTTGCTTTTGGTTTTGGCTGTGAGCGTGAGTGCGAGCAGACAGTGATAGAAGAAGCTGATGGGCTCAGCACCGGGAATGACGGGGTTATGAGGTCGAGTGCTGGCGGGGGCGAGGTGGGGGCGTACTGCTCGCGAGCAGTGCGGGGCGAGGCGAGGCGGAGGGAGGGGGGGGGGTCAGGCCAGGTCGAGTCCCACGGCAGTCATGATGTCCCCCGAGCTCAATAATTGAGCTGTGGGCAGGCTGAGCGAGCAGGCGCAAACCGGGTCGATCATGGCGAATGCGCGCGCGTCCTGGTCGACATGAGCATACGGTGACCACGAACGGGCCGCCAACCTCGGGCTCCTCCTCCTCCTCTTCCTCGCGGAGCGCTCGCGGGCTGACCCGCAGGTGAAGGGCCGCGGCGGCGGCAGGCGGGGAAAGAAAATTTTCCTCCCCTCGGGAGATTTCCCCGTGCGGCACGGCCTACCCGAGGGCTAATCCCGGTGGCTTTTCCCCCTACCCTGTGAGTCAGAGGCAGTCCCTGCGAGCGTTGCCGTGCGCGCCTGGCACGCGCCGGAAAGGTACTAGGTGAACGGGGACCCCACGATGGGCCAGCTGGCCAGCTGATTCAAGGGGAGACACGTTTGGTGAATCCGCGAGTCCGTGGGTCGAGCGGAGAGGCGGGCCGGGCAGCCCTCCCTGAGCCGGGCGGCGCGCGTTATCGGCCCGATAACAGCAAGATAGCCATCTTCTCCCTCCGCCAATAGTCATGCATGCGAGGCCAAGTTCGGCCGGGGAAACACACTCACACTTACACACAACACACTCACACTTACACTCTCACTCACACTGCGGCGACCTCAGCACCGAGATGGTAAAAGGGTACACCACCACCGCAGCCACCGAGCACCCGCCGCCGTCGTCAGCCGGTCCCAGCCGGTCTCCGCCGGTGCCCGCCGAATGGCACGCCGACGACGACGGCGGCGATGAGGACCGGATAAGGGCCGCGACAACGCCGCGCTGCGCCACTCATTTACGATGCTAATTACTCAACCCTTCCTTTATAAATGAGTCATTTTGTTTGGCCTCATTATGCGATGCGGCAGAGCCGCCCCGCTCCGGTCCAATCCAGCAGCGTGCGGCGAGGGGTTTTTGGCAAAAGTTGTGTGCAGGAACCTTGCCCCCGCCACGTCCGCATAGCATCCTGTTGACGAGTGCGTTCAGCAGCAGCAGCAGCGCCGAGTAGGACAAGCACGTCACCGACAAGCTACGAGGGAGACGCGCAGATCGGAGCGGGAAATAGAGGGAAATTACATTAAATTGATGTCGGCTTGAGCCGATGGCTGTTGGGGCCGGGGAGCGAGCCCCTCTGGCGTGGGAGAGGCTGCCGGATGCTTGCTGCCGCCGCATAGCTTGTGAGCCGGTCAGCACGCACGGCTCCAATTGAGAGAGGAAATTCGACTCGCGTGCTTTCGACGCATAGATGGACACACGAGTCCTACACGCATATTTATATTTATATCCCGCTTCCCGTGGGAGCAGCGTAAGCGGCGTTCCGTAGAGATCATCTGCTTGTGGGTGAAGCCCCGCGGCCGTTCAGCCATCAGACGGCACGCACGACACCAAAGGCGTGAGCAGCACCACGAGCAGCACCGCGAGCAGCACCGCGAGCAGCACCACGAGCAGCACCACGAGCAGCACCACGAGCAGCACCACGAGCAGCACCAC